TCAACAAAATAAACATTGCACATTGTACTATCATGACCTTTTTATTGTCACATACAATTTATTCTTACAACATGTGTTTCTATTAATTTTACTAACAATTCTTCATATGACCTACTAATTCATTTTGCCTAAACTAACATTATAACCAAAATTATAACATTATACAATATTATTCGTTCTTCTATATATATAAAATATAATTTTAAATAACCTTAGGAGATTTTGGTACATCACCTATTTTTGCATAATAAAAAAAGTATAAACTAATATACTATAGGGGGCCACCTTTCGGGACCCAAAATACCATGTATGTGTAAAGGGGATGATCAGCCACCTAAAGGGGGCCACCCCACAAAAATATCATACCGAGAGGGGATTATATTAAGACAATAAGTTATGGTAGACATGGAATTGATTAAGGGGGACAAGGGAGAACATCCTTGGGGACTCTCACACCAAAATAATTCATATGAAGACAAAGAGATAAGATTTCCCTTCCCTACCCATTTATTTTGTACCAATCAATAAGGAATCTTATATCACCCTTTAAATATTGACCTAGATGATATCTACATGATGATATAAATTCATGGTGGGCCGTAGTTACGGAGTAGGGTCGGCCGAATGACCGAATGGGGCCTAGAGGCCAATAATTGTAATTTACCAAATATTTGTCCCGTAATGAATCTCGAGGACAACCAAATTATGATTGGGTAATATATATTCATTATAGGGACTCATTTTAATTGGTAAAATTATAAATACTTATTTGGACACGATATAATTTAATTGAAGGAATCCGTGAAATACATTTTTTGAAACCGAAAATATACTTCGGGGTATGAAGGGATGGCCTCCCACATAAGTGGGGGCTACACCACGACTAAAAACTCCCAAATCGGCTAATGGGAAGCTGGTTAATGCATTTGGGGCGGATGGATGTGTGAAAGGATGGGGGAGATAAATCAAGAAAGTGAATGAGACATCTCCCATATATTATTGTGAGAAACGCCAAAAAGGCATTCCCACCAACCCCCCAACCCATGCATTCTAATTATTCAAGCAAGGAGAGAGGAAGAATATATGCAAAACATAATCTTCTTCATCCATTTTTTACACCAAGAGAAAGGGAGGAAGAAGGAAGGGAAAAAAGAAGAGAAAAGAGGAGATTAAGAAGGAAAATTCTTGGATAACAAGTTAATGACTCCATCAATCTCATTTCTTTCTTTTAATCTTCTCATATGATTATGTAAATCATATTATAGAGTCCTAGGCTAGTTCTTCACATTTAGAATTATAGAATGAGGGATTTGAAGGTGGGTTTCTATCCTAGAATGGACTTAGGAGCCAAAGTAACTTTTGAGGAGTTATAGTTATTAATATAAGTCCTTGAGACACAAAACCTTGTTAGGGACTTGTAGAAGGTGAAGCCAGCTTTCTAAAGAAGTTGAGAAATGGTTGGAGTGGTTGTTAGAGACCACCGAAAAGTTGTTGGAGTTTCGTCGGAGGTCAACTGAAGATGCTTGGATTTCATAAGCTGCATTTAAGGTAAGGGACAACTTTATGTCTTATAAATCTTGGATTAGACGTGAGATTATCTAAGGTTAATCAAACCCATGATTTTATTAATGATTCAAATGGATTAAAATATGCGATTAGCCGTAGTAATTATAGATTATGTGAATATGACACGATTAACGAGTAAGAAATGAACTTTGTTGATAATGGTATAATGGTATGCATACAATGTTTTAAAAGAAAGGATAATGAACCATATTTTTTGTTTGGGCGTGAGATTACCTAAGGTAATCAAGAATGTTTTTTATGAAATGATTATATACATTTAAGTATGTGATATGCCATGATATATAGTATGAACAAAGTCGAAGTGCATGATATGCAAGTTTGATTACTAAAAATTTGATTATTTGATAAGTATGATGTTGCAGAGGTCCAAAAAGGTACTACATACGTCACTTTTTATGTGTCTCATTTGGTTTTGACACAATTTTTAATAAAGTGGTTGAAAAGATAAAAGTTGTGATTGAGATTTGAGTATAATAAAGTAGAATATTGTGAACCACATATTTATTTCTAAAAAGGAAAGTAAGACAGGTAAAATGGGACGGAGAGAGTATTTTTGAATTGGGAATTTTGAAATGTGCACGTGTATAAAATTTGGTGTCAATCAGACTTTGTTTGGCGGTCAAACGGGCATTGATCGCCGGATCAAAGCTCTTACCCGATCGGGTATGGACGATACCCGAACGAGTATCACCCAAAGTTGAGATTTCAAACCTGCTGCCCAAAAAACCCGAACGATTATTGATGGGTAACCGACCGGGTATCATTCTAAAGTGAGATTTTGACCCACTACCTGAAATACACGCTTGGGTATGGGTGTGTAGCCGATCGGGTACCCCACCAAAAGTAAGGATTTGGGTCACTGACTTACATACCCGTTTCTTGTGCACGTCGTAAGCATCTCCCATCCGAGTTTGGATATACGTCTTTCACCAAAATTGTAGATAATGAAGTTCTCTATCCACCAATATTTCAGTCAAGTGGTTTGGATCATCCGATCAAAAGATATGTATGAAATAGTGAAAGGTGTCATCCGGAAATTTTCATAGGGATTATCTGACTTCCTCGTTTGGTTTTATCTTGATACTTTCATATTCTTGCCATGGTGTCTTCAAGTGATTTATAGCTCATTGAGTTATCTTTCTTATAATATTTGAATCGTGTCATTTGGAATTTTCTACAAAAAGATGCACATAGGTTAACAAGGGCTCGTGTAGTCCTTGAGGTGTGATTAGCCTCCATAAAAATACACATATGTTAACAAAGGTCTATGTAGTCCTTGATGTGTGTTTAACCTCCATAAAATTACACATAGGTAACAAGGACTTTTGTAGTCCTTGTGGTGTGTTTAACCTCCATCAAATTACATATAGGTAACAAGGGTATGTGTGGTCCTTGAGGTGTATTTAATCTCCATCAAATTGCACATATGTAACAAGGGCTCGTGTAGTCCTTGAGGTGTGTTTAACCTCCATCTACACATAGGTAACAAGGGTCCGTGTAGTTCTTGAGGTGTGTTAAACGTCTATCAAATTACACATAGGTAACAAGGGTCCGTGTAGTCCTTGAGGTGTGTTAACCTCCAACAAATTACACATAGGTAACAAAGGCCAGTGTAGTCTTTGAGGTGTGTTAACCTCCATCAAATTACACATAGGTAACAAAGGCATGTGTAACCCTTGAAGTGTGTTAACATCCAGCAAATTACACATAGAATGAGGATGCATGCATACTCTTCAAGGTGAGGTTAGCCCATATAGTGTGCATTATGATAGAAAGGACGAACAGTCCTTGTGGTAAAAAAACTTCAGGGTATTGATTTTAAGCGAATGTACATATTAATTGGGGACGAGTTCCCGATGGTGTAACTTCCTTAGACTATGAAGTTATGTTAAACCATGTCCGTGATTAAAGGGGCAAAGGGCCACCCACGGATAATTACCTATTGATATTATGTGAGTTAGCCTGCGTGTAAGTAACATCACCCGAGGGTAGGACATGAGAAGGGTGAATCAAATGGGACTGTTTTGCCTAAATGACTTTGAACGACAAAATGAACCCCACAGGTTTGATATTTGACTCATATGTGTATATGTATATGATATGATTTGAAAGGGGTAGCTACACGTTATGCCCATAACTATGCTATCACCCTATGTTGAGGATCTTACGTTTGAAACGTTAGTTATTCTACATACAGCCTGCTCTCGGGAGTACTTTTCTGTAGTACTTACCCCTTTAGAGTCATCTCATCATTTTCAGGTTGAAGTTGAAGCTTGCTTCCTGTAAATGTTGTACGAGGGATCGATGGATAAATATTTACAGACATGGTTCATGCTTCCTCCGTTTCTGTTTCTAAATAAATATTTAATTCTCATGAAACTATTTTGACTTATAAATTAATGGAGCTTATGAGCTCTTGATTTGCCCATGTGTGGGTTGTTATTAAACACTTATATTCTGCTATGTGTTTAATTGTATGTTGTTGTTATATATGTTTACAAATCGGTTTGACATATGTATCTATTGGACGTCTTGTGCAATTTAGTAAGGATGAACTGGGTTGTACGACAATTGTCTACGTGACACGGACGTGGTTTGGGACATGACAATTAATTAGTGGTATAAAACAATGTTATCTGAGGGGTTATCCTAGATATTTCCTGGTTCCAGGATAGACCTGGTCCGGTTATTATATTTATTTTTCGTTTTCAAGACAAAAAAATATGTCACGTTGGGACCGGAATCGAGTCTTGAACTGCCTGGTCCAATCCCCAAAATTCAAACCCAAAGCAAGGCCTACCGGTTACCCCGTCGGGTACCCAATCTTGAACCGAGACCGGAAAAACCGACCTAGTCCGGTCCCTGCAAATAGTGGCGAACCTGGTTCCAGACAAAATCCACCCCTGGTTGGCTGGTTATACTATGTTCTCCCTGTTGCACCAAAAAACTGCTACCCCAAGCATTACAGAAGCCCGAAGTGTCGATAAAATGTCAGCTATTGATGAAAAGGAACTAGTTACTTATCAACTACTCCCTCCGTTCCTATTAAAATTTCCAATTTTCGTTTTTCGTTCGTTCCAATTAAAATTTCCACTTTCCCTTTTTAGTAAAGAATTTGTGGTTCACAACATTTCTTACATTTATCTCTCTTCTGCACAACTCTCAACCACACAATAACAACTATCTTAAATTGTGTGTCAAACCTATTTGGAAGATAAAATAGGAATGGAGGGAGTATTATAATTCAATACATATTAGAATGAAAACAGATTTTCTGTTTTCTTTTTCATTTTTAGTTGGTTTAGTTGGATTGTATCGTAACAAACCGTTAGTTACAGTACTTCTTTTTTGAGCTTGTATATAAGCCTTGTACGGTTCCTGCAGTTGTATATTGAATACAATTCATCTTTTACTATCAATCTCCTTCTTCCTTTCATTTAATCCTTGCCATTGTTTTTTCGCATTTCTTTTCTATTTGTTCTTGATTTCTTCCAATTGATCAAGCATGGCCTCTAATCATCTTGTAAATCCTGCAAATCCTTACTTTCTTCATGCTGGAGAAAATACGGTCATTTTTCTTGTTTCACCTCCTCTTACTTGTAGGGAATTTCCACCTTCTTTCTTGGAAGTTGTCAAGAGGCATCTCACACCTTCTTGGAAGGAGCTTTCCAACATATAAACATGGGAGAAGATATGGAGATAACTATGGAAGCTTAGATGCAACTTCCTCTTGTCTCCAAACTAGCCTATAAATACAGTGTTCCATGTTGTTCATAATCATCTGTTTAGAAAGTGAGAAAAGTGTGTGAAGAGTGAAATACACTTAGTGTAGAAGTGTATTGGTGATGATTGATTTTTTGTAATAGTTGAGTGTGAGAGTTTGCTCCTCCTATTGTAATTCTGTTCTTGATATTGAATAGAAGAATTTTCCAATCCCAACAAGTGGTATCAAAGAGAGGTTGAGTTTCCATACACTTTTTCTCATTTTTCAGAAAAATTTCAACAGGTTAGAAAATCTTGATTTTTGAAGTTGCTCGGAATCACGATCTGATCATATCGTTAGATTCGTCTCGTCGAGAGAAAAAATCTAGTATTTTGAGTAATTTTTTGGCCACCGGAAGAGGCCGTACGCGCCGCCAGGGGCGGAACTACACTAGAGCTTGGGGGTGCTTATGCCCCTGCGGCTCTGCAGTTTTTTTTATTATATATATAGAGAGAAATTTTCAGGTCCAGCACGTTTCTGTCCGAACGCCGTCCGAACACCGCTGTTTGGGGCGGTTCCTCATCAAGTCTAGTTTATCCATACTAAATTGCAGCTTAAAATTCGATCGGGAAGGCAGTAAAATATTTTTTTGAAGTTAACTACGTTTTTCTATGTATAATTTGGCGCAATTAACTTCAACAAATTGTTTGACTGCCTTCGCGATTGAACTTTAAACTAAAATTTGGTATGGATAAACTAGACTTGAATAGGAACATGCTCAAAATATTTCATGAAAAAATCCACCTCGAACCTTCCCAAACGGCGGTGTTCGGACGACGTTTGGACCGGGGGCAGCTGGACAAGAGAATGACTCTATACATATATATTATAGAGGGTGCTCGACAATCAACTTTTGAATGTAAAAATAATTTAGAACCACAATCAAATTTGATATTGATGAATATTAATGAGGCAGACTCAAAAGAAAATGTAAAAAAATCTTAACAAAATAAAGGGAGTAATATATTTATGAGCTCTACTACTAACGTTGAAGCTTGGAGGGTTGATTACATTGAGAGAGTTTCTTTGGAATTCACCCGAATTAGGCCGGAATAAGTGAATAACGCTGGCGACCACTAGGTCTAGCGACTGATCGAGAGCATTATTGTTTTGAGGTGACTGGCGTAGCGGCTTTGCTATTGTGTATTTGGGCTATAGCCATGTACTGAGCTTGTTATTTTTTGTTGTTGTGGATAGTCAGGCTCAAGTTTGACAAAGAATTCATATGAATCGATTTTGTACACAGATTTCTAAAGGTAGTAAAGAGTCAAGCCTTCTGAGGTAATGTGCCCCTCCAAGATCACGAAGCTAGTTCCGCCACTGCGCGCCGCCCAACCGCCGCCTGGAACTGCCTGCATCATCACACGCAGTCCAGGGGAAGAAGACGACCACGTCAGCGCCACATCACATCCAGTCAGCTCCAGTCAGCTGCCACGTCATCCAAAAATGTCGTCGATCTGAGCCACGTCTGCTGCCATGTGGCGCCACATCAGCAACAACACAGAGCGAGCTGCTGCCATGTCATCTGCCTGCTGGTCTGCACATTGGGCTGCTGCCTGAACCGGACCGAACCAGTTCGTACTTGTGGAGGCCGGTTCACCCATTTCCAGACCGCTTTTAGACGAGATCAGACCGGTTCCTACCATTTTCGGCCATTCCGGATCCAACGGTGAGCTCCGTTTGTTCAAATTCGGCTTCGAAAATAAGGCACGAGATATATTGAGCGTTTTATTATGGATAAATCATCATTGGACACCATGATTGCGCTCACTTCCACAAATTACAATATGTGGAAGCCTCGGATAGAGGATTTGCTAAATTTGAGGGATTTAGCCGATCCTCTTGATAATAATGGTGTGAAACCGGATAAAAAGACGGATGAAGAATGGACAAAAATGAATCGAAAAACTGTCGCACAAATTCGACAATGGATAGATCATAGTGTGTTCTAGGGGTGAGATCGGTCCGGTCGGTATCAGGTTTTTGCTAAACCCGAAAATTACCCGTAAGGCCGTAAGGCATCGGGTTATGAAAATTAGGGACCGAAAAAGGCCCACTATATTCGGTCCGAGTCGGGTTTTTTGTAGCCCGGGTTCGGGTTGGGTCGGTTAAAGCCCGAATATGAAATCACTCATTTTTCTTTAATATTTTAAAATCTATTTTCAAATAAAAGTAATAAAAAGTACAAACCGCAAATAAAATTAATAAAAATCACAAATACTAGTCTCCAAAATCACCAAGAATTCAAATCCAAAGAAGACAATTATCATAATATTTTGTTTAAGATGCATAAAAATAAGTAATACAGGTGTTCTAAAAATGTTATGAAATAAAATTTATGGATAAAAATGTGATTAAAGTTACTATAAGTATGTTTTCATGGTCATTATGGTAAATAAATTGAACATATTTGTAGTCACTAAAAGTTATTAAGTCATTTTTTCGTCCATCATGATTATAATCATATATTAAGAATTAATTTATAAATTATATTGGTATATTATATTGATTTTATATTAAGGCTAATTGTTTCGGGTTTTATCGGTCCGGGCCGGGTTATAGATTTTAGGGCCCGTTAAAGAGCTAGAAATTTCGGGTTCGGTCCGGGTTTTTTTTTATTCGGGCCGGTCAAGAAGAAAAAACCCGGATCGATATCATAATTCGGGCCGGGCCAGGGCCGGTTTCCGGGTTTCGGTTCGGGTTTTCCCACCCCTAGTGTGTTCCACCATGTTGCTCAAGAACAAAGTGCTTACACACTATGGGAGAAGCTTGGTAGCATGTATCAAGCAGAAACCGCCCGAAATAAGACGTTACTAATGAGGAGATTAGTAAACCACAAGTTACGTGGAGGTATTTCGGTGTCAGAACACACCAGTAAATTTCAGGATCTTGTGAATCAGTTGAGCACCATCGGATGGGTTCTCAAAGATGAAGAGCAGGCGATACTACTCTTGAGCTCTCTACCTGACAACTGGGAGACTCTTGTTGTCACTCTCGGTAATCTGCTCTAAATGGGAAGGTGACTATGCAGATGGTCACAGATGCCCTGATGAATGAGGAAGCCCGAAGAAAATAAGTCGGGACTGAACAATCATATGCCCTCATATCAGAAACTAACACATGAGGGGGAGGTAGAAATGGAGGAAGAAATCGAGGTCAAGGTAGAGGCCAAGGTCAAAATAGAGGAAACTCTCAAGTTCGCGGCAGATCACAAGAGAGAGGTATGTCCTTTGAAAACAATACGTGGTTTGAAGGATATTGCAATTACTGTAGTAATTATGGGCATAGAAAAAGAGATTGTAGAAAGTTTCTACGAGAGCAGCCACAGACGAGTCAAAATACTAGCCAAGAAGATGGTGTGACCATGGTTAGTTTGTCATCAGACGTGTTACTTGTTACACATGGTGAACAAGAATGTTTACACGTAGGTACTCATGATGTTGAGTGGGTGGTTGATACAACCGCATCATTTCATGCCACTCCACACCAAAACTTATTCACATCTTATAAATCCGGAGACTTTGGAGCTGTGAAGATGGGAAACACCAGCTTCTCAAAGATTGTTGGCATTGGTGATGTGCACATAACAACCAATGTCGGATGCGCACTTGTGTTGAAAGATGTTCGACATGTTCCGGATCTTAGATTGAATCTTATCTCCGGTACAGCTCTGGATCAGCAAGAATACCTTAACCGTTTCAAAGAAGGTACGTGGAAGGTATCTAAAGGTTCCTTAATAGTTGCAAGAGGCCATATTTGTGGTACTCTTTATAAAACCCATGCAAAGCTATGTCATCCAAGTCTCAATGCTGTTGAAGAAGAGACATCACCAAACTTGTGGCACCGGAGGTTAGGCCACTTGATTATGAAGGGATTGACAACTCTTGCAAAGAAGGAAGTCATTTCCATGGGCAAAGGTGTTGCCCTAAATCCATGCGAGCACTATTTATTCGTGAAACAACACAGAGTTTCCTTCAGTTCTACCAGGAAGAACCATTCAAAGTTACTCAGTCTTGTCCACTCTGATGTATGTGGACCTATTGAAGAGGAGTCACTTGGAGGAAGCAGATACTTTATGACATTCATTGATGATGCGTCACGAAAGGTATGGGCTTACTGTGTGAAAAGTAAGGATCAAATGTTTGATCGTTTCAAACTATTTCATGCCATGGTAGAAAGAGAAACAGGGAAGAAGTTGAAGTGTCTACGTTCAGACAATGGAGGACAGTACACTTCCCGAGAATTCTCATCATATTGTGCTGCATATGGAATCAGGCATGAGAAGACGGTTCCACGAACTCCACAACACAATGGTGTAGCCGAAAGAATGAACAGAACCATTGTGGAGAAAGTTCGTTGCATGTTGAGTATGGCTAAACTACCGAAGCCATTCTGGGGTGAAGCTGTGCTGACAGATTGTTATCTTATAAACAGGTCACCTTCTGTTCCTTTAAACTTTGAAGTGCCAGAGAAGAAATGGTCGGGAAGAGATGTTTCTTACTCTCACTTGAAAGTGTTCGGGTGCAAGGCATTTGCACATGTGTCCAAGGAGTTGAGACAGAAGCTTGATCTCAAGTCAAACTCATGCATCTTCATCGGCTATGGAGATGAAGAATTCGGATACCGGTTGTGGGATCCCGAAGTGAAGAAAGTTATACGAAGCAAAGATGTTGTATTTCATGAAAACGGGTTTCATGAGTGTGCTCCAATAATCCGCAAACAACATACTTCAGAAGACGAAGTCCCTATATCATCAAACATTCCTCTGAGTGACGAGGAGATGTATGATACTACTGAGCAAGAGAGTGATGGTTCAGTAGGTAATGATGATGATCACAGTGATGATATTCCTCAGCAGGGGGAGCCTTCATCTGAAGACGAAGCTGAAGGTACTCATGTTCGACGTTCTATGCGAGACATAGTTCCACAAAGAAAGTATTTCACATCCGAATGGATACTTGTTGCCAACGAGGGGGAGCCAGCGAGCATTGCAGGAATGAGAGAAACAAAGAAAAAGGTGGAGGAGATTTGTAGGGAATTTCCACCTTCTTTCTTGGAAGTTGCCAAGAGGCATCTCACACCTTCTTGGAAGGAGCTTTCCAACATATAAACATGGGAGAAGATACGGAGATTACTATGGAAGCTTAGATGCAACTTCCTCTTGTCTCCAAACTAGCCTATAACTAGAGTGTTCCATGTTGTTCATAATCATCTGTTTAGAAAGTGAGAAAAGTGTGTGAAGAATGAAATACACTTAGTGTAGAAGTGTATCGGTGATGATTGGTTTTTTGTAATAGTTGAGTGTGAGAGTTTGCTCCTCCTATTGTAATTCTGTTCTTGATATTGAATAGAAGAATTTTCCAATCCCAACATTATTGAGAACAATTTTCATCAATGGGAACGAGATATGTTTGTTGCATAAGAATCCAAGAACAAAGATGGTTTCATTCTTGGAGAAGTTCCTTGCCCAGATGCTTGGAAACGGTGTATTCGAATGATCATATCTTGGCTTATTCGGTCCATGAGTTCTGCTATCAAACAATCAGTGATGTGGATGGATTCTGCTGCTGAAATATGGAAGGATTTACGTGAGCGTTTCTCACATTCTGACAAATTTAGGATTGCTGATCTTCAAGATCAAATTCAAGCTTGCAAACAAGGTATTTCCAGTGTTTCTGAATATTATACACGTCTCAAGATTCTCTGGAAAGAACTTGAAAAATATAGATGTACATTGATCTGTAGTTGTTCACCAAAATGCTCATGTGATCTTATTGACAAACTAAAGAAGGAAAGAGAAGATGATTGTGTCATACGTTTTTTAAGGGGCTTGAATGATATGTATTCTTCCACCTGACCTCAACTTGTGTTGATTGAGCTTATGCCTTCTTTAGTAAAAACCTTTTCTCTTATTCTGCAACACGAAAGAGAATTTGTTGGTGAAATTCATATTTCTTCCTCTTCCCCTGCTGATAGCATAGCTTTTGCTAATATGAAAGATGCTTCCAATCTCAGGTTCATATCCAAGAACAATACATCTGATGCCAAGACCACTGGAAACTTTCTCAAAATTGTGACTTTCATAACTTTCTCATTCAACAGAGTGGCACTACTGAAACTGTTTCTGTGAACAATGATCAAAACTCAACCCCTCTCACTGAGAATTCTACAAGATGCTCAAAAAAGATTATTAAACCTCCTTCTTATTTGTCAGATTACTATTGTGGCACCATTTCATCTTTTGAAAAACCACTAACTTCACGTTATCCTTTGCAATCTTATCTTTCTTATGCTAAATGTTCTTCTACACACACTTCTTTTTGTATGTCCATCTGTGCCTATACTGAGCCAAAAATCTTTCAAAGAAGCTGTTAAATTTGATTCTTGGAAAGAAGCAATGATGACTGAAATAAAATCTCTTGAAACCAATCAAACTTGGTCATTGGTTAAACTACCTCCTGGCAAACCTGTCGTAGGTTGTGGATGGGTTTACGAAGTAAAACATAAAGCAGATGGTAGTTCAAGGATTCACACAGACAGGGGGGTTGATTTCTTTGAAACTTTTTCTCCAGTAGCTAAACTAACTACTGTGAGATTTCTCTTGTCAGTTGCAGTTTCACAGAATTGGCATTTACATCAATTAGATGTTGATAATGCCTTTTTACATGGAGATCTACATGAAGAGGTGTATATGAAGCTTCCACCTAGTTTTACTGTTTCAGATTTTACTCTTGTTTGTAAACTTTAGAAATCTCTCTATGGTTTGAAGCAAGATAGTGACAGTGGAATAAAAAACTGGTTTTCTCTCTTTCTGAACTTGGTTATGTGCAAAGTACCTCTGATTATTCTTTCTTTGTTAAGCACACATAATCCTCCTTTACAACATTACTGGTCTATGTAGATGATGTCCTTCTTACAGGAGATGATATTTCTGAAATCAATTCTGTCAAAAGGCATCTTCATAGTCAGTTTAACATAAAAGATCTTGGAGATTTAAAGTTCTTTCTTGGTTTTGAAGTGGCAAGATCAAAGAAAGGCTAGATTGTTCATCAAAGAAAGTATTGTTTGGAAATTCTTTCCGAATTTGGTTTGATTGCTTGCAAACATGCTATCTCTCCTTCAAATGCATCAACTAGACTTAGTGCTGATGATGGTGAATTGCTTCCTGATCCAACAACTTTCAGACAGTTAGTTGGAAGACTCTTGTATCTCACCAACACAAGACCTTACATTACTTTGACCAAGGCAAATGCAGTATCCAGTTATGGATTTTATGCTATCAGGACATGTAGCCCAATCTGAATCTGAAAAGACTTGAATCTTTAGATCATTATCAGCGGGATAGAAAAGGCCTCAAGCTGGAGAATCTTTGTTGGTCTTATGGAGTAAAAAGCTAACAACAGAATCAAGGAGTTGAACAGAAAAAGCAATGTAAGGTCTTGTGTTGGTGAGATACATTTTTGTGAATTGCAATGGTTGTGAATTGCAATGGTTGAAGTAGTTTTCCAACTCTTTCTATTCCTCTACCTTTTTGTACATATTAAAACAATGAGTCTGCAATACAATTGGCCAAAAATCCCAAATTCCACGAAAGGACAAAACATATTGAAATAGATTGCCACATCATTCGCATAAAGATTCAAGGAGCTCTGATTTTGTTGCTTCATGTACCCTCTAGTTGTCAACCTGCAGATTGCTTCACAAAGAGCCAATTGCTTCACAAAGGCTCTATATCTACGCATGGACCAGGCCCGGGTCGGGATTGGGCGGGATTGGGGTTTTGGTATGAAGGCCCGGTACTGGCCCAGGTTTGAACTGGGACCTGACCGGGCCGAGGTCGGGTCGGGTTTTCTTTTTCATTTTTTAGTTGGTTCGGTTGGATTGTATCGTAACAAACTGTTAGTTACAATACTTTTTTTTGAGCTTGTATATAAACCTTGTTAGGTTCCTACAGTTGCATATTGAATACAATTCATCTTTTACGATCAATCTCCTTCCTTTCACTTTATCAATACACACTCCACTTAAACATCCAAAATTACTTTTAAGAACTTGAAAGACAACTATTCCGCGGGGTTTTAAAAAAATTAAGGAACAAACGGGAAGGAATCCAATCACTACATTGTCGTTTGGTTACCAACTCCAGCAGGGGGGGGGGGGGGGGGATAAAAAAAGCAAAAGCAACAGGAGTTAATATTAATCTTTCTGAGACAACAATACCCTGATTTAACAATCCACAGCCCCCAGAATTACAAGGATTCAAAGCCAAGAGGCACCAAATAAAAGAGAGACAACTGTAATCTCATAGTGCTAACCGACTAATGATCATGACCTGAATCCAACACAATCATAGGCTACTGCGTAATTTATTGCTGCTCAGCCTGTAACAGTTGCAAATGTAGCATTAATACAAACATACACCCCACTAAAGAAAAAATAATGAACCACAAACAATTCATTTTGTGGGTTAAGAGAAGAACAAGCAATGCCATGTGTGACAGAACAGCCCAAATGATTAAAATGGAAGGGTGCAAACATTGGGGCACCTCAACGAATTTTAGATTCCAACATCACGGGTTTAGGTTAATATACCCTGGTTGAGTATAGAAACATACATCGACTTGGAGACTTTTGGAAAACATGAATGGCTATCAGGAATGAAACTTAGGATGGAAGATAAAGAAACTTAAAGTGAAATGCATAAGCTTCCCTTGCAAAGAAGAATAGTCAATCCATTGTTCAGATGATTAAAAAACAGATGTAATAATAAACCAGTAAAGCTTGTCCCCTTATCTTTCAAGAACCAATACAAGTATACAACAACAATACATACTTAACTGAGAGTAATTTGTAGGATGCTGTCCACATCATCATTTCATAATAGAAAAACGACGAAAGAAGTTGCAACTGCATAGGGTCAATGTTACTTCTAGTTGGTCATACATACAAATATAATCTACTGAACGGATCAAGATAACCTGTCTTGTATAAGTAATTTTGTCGCACATAGAGATACATTTCATTGGTACAAAAACCACCGCGCAATGGAAAAGAGAATGAGCACAATGAAGAAACAAAACATAATACTAAACGTCTAAACCATGCCAGAGATCAAGATCCTAATAAAACCTACTAATACAAATCAATGCTACAAAAATTCACCGTAAAGCTTCTACAGGAATCCCATCATATTAGTGCAATGCAATTTCCTTGGCAGCTCTTAAAGTATACCCAAAATTTCCTTCCCTACTATGTCCACCCACATCTCTCTGTGATGTCATCAAACACTTGATTCCAATCTTTTAAGTTCACATTTTGCTTTGAGATAGATTTCATTTTATATTCATCGGGGCATAAGTCTATATGAATTATAATGAGGCATGCATACTCATCATGAAGGACACTTAAAAGACTAAAAACAGTGTCTGTTACATAAAAAATTCCAAAGGAAAAAATAGAAAATACTTTAGATGATGCAAGAGATGATAAGAAATCTTAGCATATACACTTCACACTACTTATCTGGCGAAGTTAGGTCACCAGAGAGGCAAATATTAACAGTTGGAAGAGGATGGTGGGTAAGCATCAAAATGTATGGGGTGGTAGTAAACTAGTAACTGGGTGAACTAAAAAAAAGGCTAACAATTCTCCGAAACACAACTTGAAGTACTGAGTTGCCAACTTATATACCTCTCCTCCTTTTGAAGAAAATAAAAGAGATATTGTAAGATTACCTTAGAAGCATTAGGCAGGTGAGGTTCATGATCAGCAAATTTATAAGAGCATTCTGAGTAAGCAGATCCCAAAGCTGCTCCAACACTTAAAGCTACAGCTGACCAGCGTGTTGCCGGAGTCCCTAAATGACAAAACAGTTTAGGGATATCACTATTATAACTATGACACTACATTCAAAGCATTGATAAATATGTAAATTAAAATCAGATGGCATTGAATGGAATATGGGTGACATGATCACACCTTAGATGACCCCAAAAAGAACATTTTTTAATAACAACAAATATATCCCTGTTGAACCTCAAGACCCGAAGAAAAGATATCAGTCTTCCAGCTTGTTCTCATTAACAATCACATAATTGCTTATAATGGCGGGAAGATATTTCCTTAGGATGAAAGAAGAATATCATGCAGCTAATTTTAAAAAAATAATGACTGTAGTTATTTACGCCATTGGGGACAAAAGTAGTTTTATTACTCCATTTTGTTGATCTTCAGTACTCCATTGATTAGCTCAACTGTACTATTGCTCACCTTAGTTGGGTTGAAAGCTTCAAAGCAATATATTAAAATTGAGGTTTAGTACAGAAGTTACATATAAGGAATATAATTTTATAATGTACAAAGCAAAACTTCACGATCTCATTTGAAACAACAACGACAACATCAAAACCTCAGTCCCGAAAGAGTTTGGGATCGGCTAACATGAATTGACATATGAAATTAAAGCTAAAAATATTTAAATCACACACAAAAAGATAAGATAAAATAAAAAAGATAAGAGAGAGGTAAAGATAAAAAGATAAGATAAAAAAGAAAAAAAAAATAAGAAAGTTAAAAAATGATTAAAAAAATGAAATAAGTCCTTCACATGTATACTCTCCCTTCACTTCCCTCTCTTTAAAGTCATACTCTCGTACAACCCAAGAAGTAAAATATCATTCCTAGCTCTTCCAATCTATGTTTGTTTAGGTATTCATCTGTGTCTCCTTCTCACCTCTTCTCCCTACCTCTCAACTCGTTTAACAGGTGCATCATTTGTTCTTCTACGAATATGCTCAAGCCACCACAATCGAGACTCTCACATCTTATCTTCAATAATAGGTGATATTCCACCTTTTATATGATTGTCTCATTTGTAAAGCGGTATTTTCTCGTATATCTACACATCCAACGCAACATGCACGTCTCAGCAACATTCATCCTTTGAATGTGACATTGTTTCACCATCCAACACTCTATGACTCTACGCCATACATTAATGTAGACTTAATTGTTGTCCAATGAAACTAACATTTCAGCCTAATTGGCATATCTCGATCACATAGAAATCACGACACATTCTTCTGTTTCATCCACATTGTTCTAATTTTACGGGATACATCTTCATTTAGTTCACCGTCGTTCTGAATTGTGAAGTCGGGCTGTCAGGGTAATAAAACATATCACTTGACGGGTATCATCTTAACCTCTAAGGTAATCCCACTGTTACCATTGCTTCTACGATCTCATTTTAAAACAATAAATCAAGAATAAATAAAGATGGAAATGCCCTGAACATTTAACACTCTAACGGTTCAACCAATGAGATAGCATTTGTTAGATATTTGTTGGGTCGAAGTCTATAACTTGAAATTGAGGTTTTGTACTTAAGTTACATATAAGGAAAATAATTTCTATATGTACAAAGCAAAACTTCATGATCACATTTGAAAACAATAAAAATAAAGATGGAAATGACCCTAAACATTTAACACTCTAAGTCTCTAACCGACCAACCAATGGGATAGGCCGGATAGCAAGTTTTATTACTCCACTTTGGTGAACTTCAATACCCCATTGATTAGCTCAACTATACTAATTTTCACCTTAATTGGATTCAAGGCTTTCAGCCTATAAACTAAAATGGAGGTTTAGTACTTAAGTTACATATAAGGAACATTATTTCTAAGTGTAAAAAACTTCAG